AGGAGTTTGGAGTAGAAGTAGATGTTGTAACAACCGACTTACCTTTAAGACCAGTTTCAGCGATCTTTAGGATTCCTTGAAGCTTGATGATGGTAACTTCCTCCTTGTTCATGTGGTATGTAATGCGGAATTGATCATAAAACAAGGGTAAGGAGTGAAAAATGATATCTATTTCCAACTCCTCGGGGAAGTTCACATTAAGTTTCAGCAACCGATCCACATACCCCTTGCATTTTCTGCAAGTGGTCGGTGATGGGTTCATCATCCTTCATTTGGGTTGTTATCATGGAGCAGATGATGTCATACCTCTCTTGTCGAGCACTCTGATGGTAGCGGTCCATCAAGTCCTGGTGCATCTCAAAAGGGTAATAGTCCTCATAGGGACTTTTGGAGCTCAACTGTCATAGTGGCCAACATGATGTATGCCACTTTGGTAGCATCTCTTTCATGTGTCTCATATTCAGTGACCTCCTTAGGAGAAGCAGATGGCTCGGGTACCTTAAGCTCCTTGTCAATGACATATTCATTTTCCTCATAGCGAGTGACCATCCTGATGTTCTTGATCGAATCCATAAATTTGGATCCATAAAAGATGACTCTCCCACAAAGGTTCATGAGAGAGAAGGAGCCGGTAGGGTTTGAGCCCGAAGTAGCATTGTTGGAAGATATCTGAAAAGAAGAAAACAAGTTTAGATTAGATATAAAGATAGTCCTTAATAAAACACCCCAAATGTAATATTAAGGCTATGACCCAATCATAATATATTATAACTTAGAAAAGGAATCTAAGCTATAACATAATTGAAAGGTAGGTGAATGACGATTCACTAATTTCTGCCATGAAAAACGAAACATAAATTATTAGGTTTTAATTGGTTTTTAGAAATTCCTAGATTCTTTTGAAATTCATTCAACTTTTCAATGGAATGTTTCAATCTCGAGTGTGCCCTTCATGTTTTGTGATTGGGATGTCGAGGATCACAAAACAAGGTGTGAAGTAACCATGCAAATTACTTGGTACCCTTAATCTTTTTCCACTCAATCAATGTGTCAGTTAACCACACGCGCTCCACCGACCAATGAAAAACTTTAAGTCACCCTTTTCCTACCTTGTTAAGTCCAAGTTAGTGTGCCGGTTAACCACACACGCTCCACTAACGACTTAATCAAAGTACAAAGTGTATTTTCATGGGTTAGCACCTTATTCACATTTTTCCTAAAGTAACTATGATTGGGAATTTATAAAACATTTAGTTACTTTATAATAATCAGTATACTTTTAATGAGAATTTTTAAGTCATTGTCTTACCCGTTCGGCTAACGATCCTCCACCAGTCAAGGAAGCGGTGAGTGAGAGTGGACACCCATTAAGCTGCCATTTTATAGGCAACAACCTTATACGCCCCTTATAGACCAACTTCGTGAATGAGGCCTACTAACAGTAAAACGACTTGATCTTATACATACATACACACACACATATATATATATATATATATATATATATATATATATATATATATATATATATATATATATATAATTAACTTATAATATTATAAAGTATAATTGTTGAATTTTAACTTTTAAAATTCTAGGGGTTGGAACTAAAGTTTACTAGATGACTTTACATGTTCCAAAACTTGAGGACAAGTTTTTGTAACTTTACAAAAAATTCCAATTCATAACTTATGAGTTATTGTTTATTAAAAATGAAGACTCTTCATTTTTTGTAACTTATGTGTTCTTTTAATGGATTTATTACAAAGTGACTTTTGGTTATCCATAACTTGAGGACAAGTTATGGAATCCATTAAAACACATCATGATCATGAATTAACTACCAATCAATAGCACATAATTCCTATGATCTTGCAAAAACTCCTAAGAACATGAATATTCATATCAAAATTTCAAGAACATATGAACACATATAAACTTGGAATTTTGATATTAGCCATTGTAAATGGATTAGAACAGTCATTACACTATCTAAAACAAGTTTTAAAACACCAAAACAATTTAGGGTAATGTTTGTAGTCCATTTCCAGCAGCAAAAGTCGAAAATATGCACTCTGCTTGACCAACTCATCGAGTGCAAGAACTGACTCGTCGAGTTGGTTGCAGATTCGCTTAGACTCGTCGAGCCCCCCCCCCCCCCCCCATGGACTCGGCGAGTCCCCTGTGCAGACAGCAAAAATTTCGACTTTTTCACTTTTTTGCATCAAGTATCAAACAAACAAGCCTAGGCTCTGATACCACTGAAAGGTTTTGAACATTCTAACACTCCTAAGGTGTACATGCAACCCTAGAAACCTTGGATCTATGTTTGTCAAAAATACATGCAAAATTTGATTTCCAAGGTTCTTAATCCTATCTAGCATACATGGGGCACTTTAAACATAAAAGCTAGCTAGAAATACATACCTTATAGTAATTTGGATTCCTTGAAAACCTTGTGAGCCTAGCACCCCAGGTGTGATGCCTCAAATGTCTCACACAACACTAAATGCTTTTGGAATGACTTGAGAGAAATGTCACACACTTAGAAATCGACTATGCCCTCTCACTCTTGCTTAAGTGGCTAATTTTGGTGAACATGATGATCCTTATATAGTGTGATACAATTAGGGTTACACCATGTAAACCCTAATTGTCATGACTTTTCATTTCCATGACCCATGTGTTCTATAACCACCATGGAGCATCCTATGGGTTTTAGCTCAACTTGATAATCCATGTAGTATTAGCCCACTATACAAGTTATGGATGATTTACACAATCAACTCATATATTTAATTAGTCACCTTTTGATCTATTAATTAATTCTAAATTAATTCTAAATTAATTCTTGATCAATACTAATTAAATTTTTTTATTAATATATTAGAACTTATAATATATTAATAAATCATAAGTGTAATTTCTCTCATTTTAGTCTATCCAAACATATGATGCCATACAACCCAAATAGATCATGCCAAACCGGGTCAAGTACATACCAGAAATAGTTATGGACTTAGACACCTTATCCAACAAATATATGTATGGAATGTGGTATTTTAGGGGACTCAGTAAGCTTTATACTTACCGTTTGTGGTTTAACATGTTTCAGGTACTTCTAGTTCTAAAGGGAAGAGCTCAGCTTGACTACACAACATCCCATGATGACTTTTTCCGCACTGATTGCTTTTGCTTTACTCAAATGTTTAAGAAATATGTTTTATCATGTTTGGTTTTGGAAGAAATAGTTGTATGAATTGATTGTTTTAGATGAAAATTTTATTGGTATTTTGGGGATGTTACAAAAATATAGGAGGATATTTGATTTCTCCATTTCATGTTACTTAGAGAAAATAATAAAAAAATAATAATTACATCCCCGTATTGATTTTCATTCAGTGAGACAATTGTTTTTCTTCCATTCTTTGATGAAATGAAAAATGAATTCTATAAATTTGCCTTTTATATAATTTTTCAACCAATACGATTTATAATTTCAAAACATTAGTTGAACTATCTTTGATATTGTCCAAAAATAACCAATATTTTTTTTTTTAAATATATCTCTCCCTTAAAATTTCATATTTTCCATTTCATGTAAGGGTTCGTTTGATAGTTGTTGTTTGAGAAAGTTTACTGATTGGGAAATAAAATCATGATGTCTGGTTGTACATCTGACTGACTATGATGAATGATGAAAATGACCATATTACTATGCTGTTTTATACTGTGATGAATGAAGTTGCTGCGTAATTATAAAAATATTCAAATTGTCATACCAAATCAAAATTACACAATAATCATCTAAAAATCCAAATATAAATTGTCATAAAAAATCAAAATTACACAAAATGTATGTTAAAATCAAATTTTCTGATTGAAACTTCATATATGAAATGGTCCTCCTAAATCATATGCTCGAAAATCAGAAGAAGAAAAAAAAAAGATGAAACAGATGAAGGTTCATATCTGGTACTCTCCAATCAGAAAACACACAAAAAAAAGGATGAGATTGTTACATGTGGGGCGGAGTTGGTGGCCGCAACAGCGCTTCAACAGGTGAAGGCTGGCCGACGACGAAGTAGGAAGTTTAGTGAGGAGGTGATGATGTTTGATGAAGAGTGCCGAAAAGAAGAAAGAAAGAGGCGATGTTTGGGGCACAAGTGTCTTTCCAGTCCATTGAACTAGCAATATAGGATTTTAAGGCTTTATGAGAAATACATATCTTATCGAGAAATATTAATTTTTTTTTGTGTAAATCAAACAGTCTTTCTAGTCCATTCAACTAGAAAGATCTATTTGAATATAAAAAAAATATTTATGAAACGAAATCTAACTCTTTTTATTTTATTGTAGTGATCATTTTACGTTAAATTATAAATAAGCATTTCATTGTTTTTTTTTTTTAACGGAATTAATTCATTCTTTATTAACTATACAATTATACATAACATAACAATATATTTTTAATTTAATTTCAGATTATTTTCACAAATGACATCTTAGATTTGTTTATGTATTTCGGTTTATTTATCCATAATAAATAATAAATCTGAAAATTCATTTCATAATTTCATAATTTATTCTTTTATGCGTTTTAACCAGCATGTCAAATATAACAATTAAAAAAAATTCTATGTATATTTTTATCTTATATTAAAATATAAATATTAAATAAACTATTTAAAGAGTTCTATTAATTTACATGTTAGTACAAAATAATTAAGTTTTTCGAGGTAACACGAAATCAGTCTCCCCGATCTCTCTCGTAAATGTTGCCAGTCTTCGTTTTGTTGAACTCTCGGATAATCGAGTGTCATCCTTCAACTTGGAGTCAAAATTCTTAAAATAGTCGAGGAAACAAGAGAAACACCCCCTACGCTTACCCCCCCCCCACCCCCCACCCCACCCCACCCCACCCCATCCAAATCACCTCTCTTGCACTTTATTCTCTTCAAATTCGATTCCTTCTTATACCCGGAACAAGTTCTATAGCAGTGAAGAACACCACCTCACTGTGACACGCACGCACACAAACACACACTCTTCTCTCTCTACATTCTGATGTTCAGTCAATCTCTCTCTCTCTATATATATATGTATAATTGTATATGTATATCTATTTGATATATTCTTGAATTTGCCCCTTTGTTTCTTTGCCTTTCTTCACGCTATGTTTCTTGTATACGCAACAACTTTGCAGAAACTATCAAATTCTTCTCTTTCATCCAAATTTTCACAGGAAAGGTTCAGTTGTTAGGACTTAATTCGTTTGAATCCAACATTGGAATCATAAGTAAGCCCTTAATTTTCTTGTACGTTGCATTGTGGGTATTTATGTATATCAAGTTTTGGAACAATGAGAGAAGAAAACTGCAACAAAAACAAGGTTTGTTTGACCAAAATGTAGACACTTTTTGACTTCGGTTTTGTTTTCTTGACTTGATTAAAAAATTTGACTTTATGTTTGATGGTGATTAATGGTGCAGATTTCATGGCCAAAAACACTCAAGAAATGGTTTACATTCAAGAACAAAGCCGAAGACTTCCATGCAGATGACTTCAACCATCGAGGTGATTTCTTGATTTCTTCATGGGTTGTATCTATTTTAGGGTTCTAAATTATTTGGGAATTTTTTGTTTTACTCTTTGAATTGTCTTTTGGGAACATGACTTGACTTGCTGTTGCTTTATTTCTGGATCAATCAACCAATATTTTTTGTAAAACCTTTCTCTTTGCAGCTCAAGATCTGTTCTTGTTTCCTTGTTTCTGTATGATCTTTTATGAGTTTTTGGTGTTGTTTATTTAATTCTAATTCCATTTCTAGAGGGGGTGGCCCACAACATATTTGTTGGATTATGTGTGGTCTTGAATCTTGAAACAATGCAGTGGAAATTATACAGCTTTTAACAACTTACCCTTTTTCAGATTATGATTTCTATGATAAGGAAGTGTGCATCATCAACAAAAACAGAAGAAGAGGTGCATTTTCAGACTTTAGGACCACATTCTAACTTAGACCCCACTTTTTATTTTTTATTTTTATTGAAGTGGTCGGAAAAAAAAAAAAAATTTTACCTTTTTTTTGTTTCACTTTTTTATGCCATCTTGATCTGTCACATATCTCACACCAATGACACCCTTTGTGCTATTGAACAGAGAGATCAAACAAGAAGTATGCTCCCCAATTGAGAGATGTCAATGATTATAGGTCTGTTTCAATAGTGTCATTAATTCACTCTTTATTCCAATCTGTTTTCTCTTTCCGATTTAAGATTCTTTATGTTTTATTTACTGGGTTTTTTTTTTTTTTTTTTTTTTTTTTTTTAAATTGCAATAGGATCTTTGTAGCTACATGGAATGTGGCTGGAAAATCACCAACAAGTTCTGTAAATCTTGAAGATTGGTTGCATACTTCACCTCCTGCTGACATTTACGTTCTTGGGTGAGTTAATAATGTTATATCAATTATCAAATCTTGATCTTATTAATCATGTTAAATTTGACACCTTTTTAAAAAAAAAAAAAAACAGGTTTCAAGAAATTGTCCCTCTAAATGCCGGAAATGTCCTTGGAACAGAAGACAACGGACCCGCTAAAAAGTGGGTAGCCCTCATTCGAAGAACACTAAACAGTCTTCCAAGAACAAGTTCAGATCCTAATTCAGATTTTGAAGGATCAAAAACAGAAAAGAATCCATCTTTCTTGAATGGACCTTCAAGTTGTAGCATGAGGGTAATGAAAAGTGAAATGGGTAACCCACAACCAAGGCTCACACGTGGATACAGCGTCAATGGTTATGACCCGAATCTTGGATCTTTAGATGATGACAGTGATCCAGATAGCATACACTCACACCTACCGTATTGTGGTGGGAACTCTAGCTACTGTTTGGTTGCAAGTAAGCAAATGGTGGGAATATATCTTACAGTATGGGTAAAAAATGATCTTAGAGATGATGTGTGCAACATGAAAGTATCATGTGTTGGCAGAGGATTAATGGGTTATCTTGGAAACAAGGTAAAAAATTTGTACTGTGTTTGGTGTGCATTAGACAGAGTGTCTAGGATTAGGAACAAACCAAAAGACATGAATGCCCTTCTCATCCTCACATAAAAATAGTCGAGTTTTGTCGTGTGTAACAAATCCAGGTGAAGGGTATAATTTGGAGAAATTTTAATTTACATTACCAAAAAAATTTCAGGGTTCAATCTCAATTAGCATGTCATTGCACCAAACGAGCTTTTGCTTCATATGTAGTCACTTGACATCGGGTCAAAAGGAAGGGGATGAGCTGAGAAGAAACGCTGATGTCATCGAAATCCTGCGAAAAACATGGTTTCCAAGAGTTGAAGGAACAAAAGATGAGAAATGTCCTCAAACTATACTCGAACATGAGTAAGCTTACTATTTGAAATTCAAATGACTTCAAGTTTTCGATGCTAAAGTTTTGTTTTCTTGAGTGTAGTCGAGTGATATGGCTTGGTGACTTAAATTACCGGATCGCCCTTTCTTGCCGATCTGCAAAGGCTCTTGTTGAGGCGTGTAACTGGAGGGCATTGTTGGAAAATGACCAGGTAAGCTTCAGTTATATGGCACTTCATGTTTTATGCGTGTGTGTCTTTAATGACGCCTTCATGAAATGATCGATTTTTTTCTTTCTTTTTATAGCTTCGAATTGAGCAAAGGAGTGGACGTGTATTTGGTGGATGGAATGAAGGGAGGATAGATTTCCCTCCCACTTATAAGTATTCAAATAATTCGGATAGATATGCATGTGATGATATACACCCTAAAGAAAAGAGAAGAACTCCCGCATGGTAAATCCTCTTTTTGGGCTTTTTGTTAAACTCATATACATGTGTAGACAATACAAGGATACTTTTCCACCCATAAAAATTTGAAAAAGAAAAAGAACTATCCGTGCAAATTATTTATGCATCGAAAATACAAGAATCTTTCAGTCACTTTGCAAGAAGAAATGATTTTGGATAAAAAGTATAAGGGGTACAATGTTACTTTTCTATTTACATATTCTTGAAAATGATGATTATTTTGTAACATAATGATTAATGCTTTAAAGTTGATCTTTCTTTTGTGGAATCATGAATACTATTGACAAGTGAATATTTGTTATGAAGGTGTGATCGGATCTTGTGGTATGGTAGAGGACTTCATCAAATATCTTATGTTCGTGGGGAGTCTAGATTTTCAGATCATAGACCCGTGTGTAGTATATTTATAGCAGAAGTTGAATCTATCAACCGTTGCAAATTCAAGAAAACCACAAGTTGTTCTTCCCGTATTGAGGTCGAAGAGCTACTACCATATCTACATGGATACTAACACAGTGACAGTGACAGTGACAGTTTTGTACTGTGTTTGGCGTGCATTGGACTGGCTCCTACCGGCTCTCGATCTCTCTTCCGTGCAAAAGACGTGAATGCCTCCTCATCTTTTCCGATTCGCAGTCATCTTTTCAAGAACACAACATGAAAACAAATGTAAGTAAAAGAATCAAGTCTGATGCATTGGCTGAGAGCATGAAGGTGGCTTGGTTATGTGGGAAAATTTTCATTCTTATTTGTGGATATGATAGGAATTTGACATATTTACCTTGGTAAATTGATAGAGGAATAGGGTATGAGTCTCTTGGATGTAACTTTACATGGGTAATAAAGTCATTTTGTATGATAAGAGGTCTAGGTTTTGTTGAAGATGCTGTTGGGTTTTTGATGGATTCTTTTGTACAGAAAAGTGGAATTCTTATTGCAGAAGTAAAGGGCTGAGGGCTTACATTTTTTGCTCCAAATATTTATACAATATACTTTTGAAAGTTGTACTGTGAAAAAGTTAAAGATTGACACCGTTTAACGTGATATAAATTCTTAAGATCAATTCGTATGAACCTATTAGGTTTGGATTTATTTTATCATGAATTATATATAAGAAATTAAATTGATTCCTACTTTTTATGCCTACAAATGTTCCTATCCAATAAAATTATGATAAGTATTATCATTTCATATTTTTATTATATATTAAAGGTTATAAAGGGAAATAAAGAAATGTTTTACTTTTGACAAAGTCAATTTAAATGTTATATGTTGAGAAATGGGGACTACAAGAATCGCTGAAAAGGCTGTGAAACGGAAATCAAAAAACATAAAGTGATGTGTTATATTCTCTCTTTAAAAAAAAACAAAAAAACAAAAAAAAACAAACTTTTATATATTAAGGAAATATAGGGGATTTAAAATAATTAGATAAAAAATAATTTTAATTAGTTAGATGATAAGTTAGGTAAAAAAATCTTTAAGAATGAAAATTAAAGAATAACATTTGAATAAATACATATTAACTAGGATATTGTAGAGATGCCAAAAAGTCATGTGAAACCCCAATCCCGGGGGGGGGGGGGGGGGGGAGAGGGTATTTGTTGATTAAAATCGGGGACGGGAGCGGGGGTAAGGTTAACATCTGTTTTAATTTCAGGGATGGTGGTGGGGGTTGGCAGTCTCGTCCTGAAACCTTCATGGGGGGCCGTTAATAAATTATATATATATTTACATATATTTATTATATAAATATAATAAACAATAGAATGATTTTTACGTATCAAAATTCAACAAAAAATATGTTTTTAAGTTATCTGTAACATGTAAAATTACACTATAAATAACTATTTGTTACCCAAAAAATAGTCTTTTTTATAGCCCAAAATCAATCGGAGGCGGGGAAACGTGGGTGGGGACGGGGGTAAGAAGGGAAATTCGGGGGTGGGGGCGGGGGTGGAAAGGATGGATTTGATTCTTTCGTTTGTAGTAGTGTCCTAATTTACCAAAATAAGGAAATATTCTCATCACTCAAGTTTCAGTTGGATAGAAACTTGGAATCATGCAACTTGTATCATATGGCGAATGAGAATTTTCATCTTTGGGGAATTAAGACTAATTCCTTGTTCACATGAACATGTGAGTCAAGTGAAGGACTAGGAGATTGGGTACACTTGGTTGTGTGTTGGTCAAGTCCACCACAAAGTACGATAAGACTATTCGTTATGATTTACTACAAGTTTAGTAAACATGGTTATACTTACAAGATTATGTGTAATTCTGAATCATTGGAAAAGTTTTAATGCATAGCAGAACGAATAATAAAAAATCAAATTAGGCAGAAAGATAAAAGTTTCTCCAATCTGAAAAGAATGGAGAGTACTTGAGTATCGTGTTTTATGATTACCTTAGTGATTATGAAACCATATCACAATTGATCCTTTAAGGATATCTTAGTAATGGGTTTTATGTAAAACATCAATCCTATGGTGTGCATGCAAACCCTAAAGCTTTGGATCTAGTTTGTCTAATGAACATGAAATAATCATCCAAAACTCATAAACCCTAGATCTAGCATACAATAATCAATATTAACATAAGAATAGGGTTTAGATATTACCTTGATTGTTAACAATCTCAATTCCTCTTGATCTTGACTCTTGAAAGCTTAGTGCCTCAAATGTTGCACCTCTAATGGAATCAGAAACACCATGAGCAACAAGATGACTTAGGAGAAGGGGAAGGAGCACCAAAAACGTCCAAGAACCCTTAGGGATTACTTCTACACGTTTTTTGGGGTCTTAGGGGTTCCTTACATAGTGAGACTATTAGGGTTATCAAACAAGGAAACCCTAATATGACTGCTTAGGCTCCAAGCAACCCATGGACTCCCTCCTTAGAAACCTTGGACGAATTCTAATGGGTTTCCCCATAGATTTAGTCCACTCCAACTTCTATGGAGTCCATTAGCCCAATATTCAACTATCACACAATTTACAGTTCTAGTCCCATTTATTTAATTAATGTCTTTTAGCCATAGAATTAATTCTTAATTAATTCTTGACTAATACTAATTAAACAATATGATTTCTATTTTAATATATTATTATTATAATATATTAGTAGATCATAATTAATCCTCTTTCTCCTTAGTTCATCCTATCAGTTGTTATGGTGAAGGCAACCCAAAAGGACCATGCTTACAATCGGGTCAAGTACATATCAAAATAGTTATGGGCTTAGACACCTAATCCAACAGTCTCCTACTTGGATAAGTCTAATAACTATTTTGCATATGACTACATAACCTGATCAACAATCGTAACTTTCAAAATCCGCTATCAACTATGATCTTATCAGTAATGCGTCCTTTAGATAAGGGATCATATATTCCTCCATTCTAGATATCGAATAGACTGAGACATGGATTTTAATCATTCTCTCTGTCTATATGTTGTTTTCCGACTTACGATTTATGACGACTGACAACAGACTACAATTGAACACATAAACTTAGTCCCGACTTGGCCAAGCACTTAGGGTGTCATCATTAAATCATCGAGGGGCCCACATATATCGCTTTTATCCCACTTTGGGTAAAAGGAACGGATAAACTTCGACTCAAATGCTTGCGTGTACCTACTCATCAAATCACACACAACAATATGGTTTATAACACCAAGTTACTGGTGTGTTTACATATTATCAATGTGCAACCAACTAGCAGAATACAACTCACACGTCTTGATTTCAAGAATATAAGATATTATCGTTTCACCAATCACTCATGATAAAACCCATGAAGAGATCCAAGTGAGCTTGGGGTTATTCCAATACTCTAATCTTATAGGAGCACTCATGAACCCTACAACAAACTTTTGCTATGTCTAAAACGCTTTACACAATCTACAGTCAGATTCATGACAGTCTTCTTTCATACCTATTTCCAAAGTATGATCGACTGTGGATGGTTTAAATAATTTTATTATTCGGTAAGTCAAAACATGCAAAGTGAAACACAAGAATAATATTAATTCTATATGGCCCTAAACTTTTGAGTATAAATAAGACACCTTTATTTAACCACCATATTCATTACTCATTATTCGTAGTTTCAGATAATCAACTTATTACTTGAATTATAACAACAGTTGTCCCATGCTCCAAGCATGCACACTATGTTAACTATGGTCCTAAATTTGTGAAATAGATCAATTGAAAACATTTCTAATGATGCTCATTTCACAATTCCTAATCCTTATCACTAGTGTAAGAATACCAAATTCTTCCCATTATTAGAATATGTTAGATTCTAACATTTTATGTAACGCCCGCAGATCCGGCCTAGTCAATAGGGGTCGAAAATGAATTTTTGACAAAAAATTATTTAGAATAAATAATCTTAACCAAGTTGTAGAATATGTCACAAGGTTTCCGTACATATAAAGAACGCCGAAATCCGAGTTATAACGAAGAAGTTGTGGCCCGTCGAAGTTTTACAACAAAACCGGCACGGCACCGGGAAGCGTAAATAGTGAATTTATGATAGAGCGAGATTTATCCTTAGCAATATAAATGAAATTCATAGAATATGTTAAATTAAGGGCGTCGATAAAAAGAACGCCCAAATCTGACTTCGTATGAGGAAGTTATGATTTTTCTAAGATTCGGCTTAGCAGTGCACGACCCGAAACTCGAATTTTAGCTCGAGCGGTTTTTGGCTTACGCGAACTAAATGAGAGTTGAAGTTCTCATTAATAGGAACTCAACGGTAAAAAGACAGACGAAAACAGAGTCCGTATGAAGGAGTTATGAATTCTTCGCGGTCACTTAATAGTCTAAACGCCTCCTACTGTTAAATTTGAGATCGGTCGAGAATTAGCCGACGGAGTCTAAACAAAAGTTGTAGATCTTGATTTTACCTACGCGTGGATATAAAGAACGTTGAAAACGGAGCTCGTATGCAAAAGTTATGATTTTTCTAAGTTTGAAGGCTGATACGCGATAGGGGGTGACGTGGCACCACCAGAATTGGACACGTGGCACCACCAGAAGGTTGCCACATGCACCAACTCGGCGAGTCATGACTCAGACTCGGCGAGTCCATCAGGTTTTTCCACTATAAATAGAGGTGTCGGGTTCCATTCATTCTCACAACTTCCAAACCTTCTTTCTCTCTCTAAACTCTCTCTCTAAGCCTCCCTAACCCCCTAAAGCCTAGGGTAATTCCCTAGCACGAGGCGGAAGCCCTGGAGCGCCCGACGGCTCCGAGAAAAGAGCCTTTCGGCTCGAGAAACGCTGCTCCAGCGAAGCCCGGTTTTGCGAAAAACCCGCTGTAAGTGAGCTACGCCTACGCTAGTTTTAATATAGCTCCTAATTAATTATAGTAACATTATTAGGACCTTAAAATAATTATTTGGGCTATTATTATGAGTTATATTGAGTTTTATTTAACTCTTATATAATAATAATAATAGTCAGACTATTAATTTGTCGCGGATATCGGTAGACTAAACCCTAGTGGTGTTGATACTAGGTTTTATCGAAGGAAGGTTGTTTTGAGAGTATCGAAGCGCTGTCCAAGTGTTGAGTCACCACCTATCAGGTGAGTGCATAGTCCCTTTCATCTTACACATAAATATGAAGTATTTTATATAAACTACGTGCTATGTGTGCATATTATTTGAATACTTGCTGTCTATGCTGGATGAACGTTTTATACATGTTTTAAAGGATTTAAACTGTATACGTATTTTATATATACGAATATGTTGGGTATGATGATGGGTAGATGAATGATGAGAGATAGAAGATGACGTGAGCATACATTGGCAACTATAGACTTAGTGCCTATGGGACAAACACCGGTAGCTATGGACTTAGTACATATCAGACGTTGGTAGCTATGGATTTAGTACCTGTTAGGAGTTGGTAGCTATGGACTTAGTACCTATTTGTTAGACACTGGTAGCTATGGATTTAGTACCTGTAGGAATTGGTAGCTATGGACTTAGTACCTGTTGAGCACTG